TTTTAATAGTAAATTTATTCTATGAAAAGGAAAATTCTTCTGCATTAACGGTTTGAAACGTTAAAATTTTGCAGTGGGATGATTCTCTCATGATTCTAGATTTTAGAAGTTGACTCTGAAAAATCCCACCTAATTAACATAGAAAGCAGTCAAACAGATGAAAAATACTATTACCACCCTGAGTTAAAGATTCAAAATAGACAGAAAATACGAGGTAAAGCAGCTGTACTGTGCACATGTCTACGTTTCTGCCAAGAGCTATTGCTTTCAAAAGAACGGATATAAAGACAGCTGCAATTGGCAAGAAACCACAAAAATTCAAATGAGAATAGTTGTTATTTTTCAGCCATGAATATATCAAAGTTCTGCCTATTGATTTGTGTGAATTATGTTTCATTAAATGAAATGAAACTCAAATTATGTAAACAGATACTTTTAAAATGTATTTTGTTGTCTCGATACACAATATTACATCATAACAATGTGACCTTAATTTGTGCGAAAAACCATGCGAGTTTAAAAAGTGCGTTGAGCTGTATACTTAGTTCGCGTAATTCCCAGGAGCAGTGAAGATTTTTAAAGACTTGATGCATATATATTATTATAACAGTAACTTGATCCGCGTAATTCCCAGGAGCAGTGAAGATTTTTAAAGACTTGATGATAAATCCCCCTTATGTCCTTTAGAGATCAATCGGGACTTTTTAACGCGCAAGAAAAGTAACGTGTTTTTGACATATGCTGGTGAAATGGATTCAGAAAACCACAGTGTGGTGATCCGGAAAATCGTGGAGATGAAATTCAAAATTTTGGAGGAGTGAGCATCCTTCCTCATCTTAATTACGTATAGATAGTTTTTTTAATATACGGGAGCAGAGAAGTCTTTATAACAGGAGAATTTTTTTTTGTGATTAATATGTTTATTATGATTATAACCCCCGCTTGAAAAGTAGGAGGGTACACTGTAATCGGTATGTCCGACTGTCCGTCTGTTACGCTTTGGGGTACCCATCTCTTATCCGCAACTCCTTTTATACCACTGAGTGAAATTTATTGAAACTTTCACAGAATCTTTATTACATATTGCCAATGTGCACCTGCTATATCATATACGGGAGCAGAGAAGTAGTTTTTATAACAGGAGAATTTTATTTGTGATTGTGTTTATTATGATTATACCCCCCGCTTGAAAAGTGGGAGGGTATACTGTAATAGTTATGTCCGTCTGTCTGTTACGCTTTGGGGTACCCATCTTTATCCGCAACTACTTTTTATACCACTGAGTGAAATCTAATGAAACTTTCACAGAATCTTTGTTATATATTGCCATTGTGCCCCCTTATTTCACTTTTTGATCCGACACATATTTTGGGTTTCCCTGCCACAGCAAAACATATACTTTTCAATTATAATCATATTGGAGGCAAGGGGTATCATTTAGTGAGCTCATTGCTCACAGTACCTCTACTAATTATCATAATTGTCATTTTTTTTTTCTGAGGATTGTTGTAATTGTGTATTCATTTACATGTTTTTCTCTAAGTATCGTTGTCATTGTGTGTCATTATAGATTTACACACTGTATTAACTCTAAATCTTTATTAAATGTCTCTGAAATATTCTGTATGTAAATCACATATGTATAACTTTACTTTTTACTCATACTTCATAATAATTCGTTTGGCAATCACTATTATTATTGTATATATTAAAGGGAAAGGTTTTTCTCATACTTGATAATAATTCGTTTGGCAATCACTATTATTATTGCATATATTAAAGGGAAAGGTTTTTCTAAGTTGAAAAAACTTGTTACCAATCCCTTTGTATGCATTATACGAGGGTTGTTCGAAAAGTTCGTGGACGATGTCAATCTTCGTTACATTACTCACTAGAAATTTAAAATAAGCACAATTTTAATATGTAAACATGTTTGTTTTGTTGATGTTTGAAGTTTCAGAGCACACTTAATGGCAATGTAACGTCAAAACATAGCGTCAAGAATTTCTAAAAAAAAAAAAAAAAAAAAAAGCTATCCCTATACATTTCACACAGTATAATCCAATGCCCACTCATTAAATCCTTTGCTAGTACTTGGCATTTATTTTTTTAGAATTGTTCTCGTTGTATAAGTTCCTTTGTTTGTGTTTTACTTTCTTTTATTATTTAACTCTCCTTTCACAAGATACGCAACTCTGAAGCGTCTATTTCTTTCCTTGACGTTCTACATGTACTTAATACCCAGATTTAGATCAGAGTAACAAAGAGAAAATGTATATCAACTTTATAACCAGTTGTGCATCCCGTTCCCCAGGAACCGCTGACCCTGGGGCCACATATTTTAAAACTGTGGAAAATTTTATCATAAGTTTTATTTCATCATATTAAATGATTGATTAATACCACAGAGCAGATTTAACAGCATTAATTTATCTTCAGACTATGTATTGTAACACCCCCCCCCCCCCCCCCCCCTTGAGGGAACATGAAATTAACCACCTCTTTCTTCATCATAAATATATATACTAAGATCATTGGCATAATACCCAGGAGCAATGCAAAAGATTTCAAAAGAATACATGCATTTTCAATATATATAATCAATAGAGCCCCGCCCTAACAACACAACCCCCAACCCCTGAGGTCACGAAATACACAATTTTTGAAGAAACACTCTTGCTCATCATACTTGGATTGTTTAATAAACAGGAGCAAAGAAGATTTTGAGGAATCAATGTAGTTTCACTATTTAACCAAAAGAGCCCTCTCCTTACACCAAAACCCCTGACCCAGGGGCCATGAAATTCACAATTTTGGAGGAGACATCCTTCCTCATCATAACTAAGTACATAGTTCATTTGTTTAATACAAAGGAGCAGAGAAGAAGATGTTTGAGGAATTAATGCATTTTCACTATATAATAAATAGAGCCCCGCCCTAAAACCACAAACTCTGACCCAGGGGAGATATGAAATTCACAATTTTGGAAGAGACACTCTCATCATAACTATATACTTGGCTAGTTTGTTTAATACCCAGGAGAAGATTTTCATTTTTCAAAGAAATAATGCACTTTTACTATATGATCTATATAGCTCCACCCTAACACCAGAACCCCCTGACCCAGGGGCCATGAATATCACTATTTTGGTAGAGGGTTCCTTACTTATTACAATTATGCCAACAGTTTGACTGCTTGATGTCCACATGCCAAGTTTGGTTGAAATTGGTCTAGTGGTTTTAGAGAAGAAATTGAAAATGTTAACGAACGACGACGTACAAATACGATAGCGACCTAAAAACTTACACATCATGTTGCTTTTGTTGCCCTTATTCTAATGGTATCAATATAAAATATGGTTAAAGATATTATTGAGAAATGTTTGTTGGGAATGGTTTTTGTTCATATTCTTGACTTTCTTTATTTGATTGAATGATTGTATGTTGTTTAACGTTTCTCTCGAGTATTTTTCACTCATACAGAGACGCAACCACTTGCCGGAGAAGAGCTGAAAATTTTGTCCTATACTCGGCACTTAGGCCTATTGAGCAGGGAGGGATCTTTTTTTCATGCCAGTACCTACAGGACTTGAGTTTGTACGGTCTCATCCGAAGGTCCCACAGTGGGACTCGAACCCGCGACGTAAGCATCAATTCCTTACTTAGCGACTCTAGAGGAGACCTATTTGAAAAAAAAATCATGAGCTTTACCACAGATAATATTTGCAAAATGATGTTTAAAAATACATGTAACCTTTACATTGTAATTCACATTGCAAGAAATAAATGTTTTGACAAAAATGAGAAATTAAAACTTTAGTTCGATTTTCCAATGCATTAGCATATATTGAATTTTGTTCCAATATATTTTCATCAAATAATAAGATATTAAATTTTTAATTTGTTATTGAGCTGTGTTTTGAACATTTTTTGATTTAGCATATACTTTACAATATTTCCTTTCTGACTTCGGAAACCTGAGATAAGTCATCCTTATTAGTGTCCAAAGATGGGCCATTTGCTTTTGTTTTTCATCAGTTTCGAAACCACTTTAATTAGAATCCCTAATTTGTTCAGCACTCATTCGATATCCCTACGTCGCGGGTTCGAATCCCACTGAGTTGTAAAAAGGTCCTTCGGATGAGACCGTATAAACCGAGTTGCAGTAGGTGCTGGCACGAAAAAGACCACTGAATGCTTTATGGCCGTACGTACCAAGTACAGGACAAACTGTAGCTCTCCTCATCGGCATGTGGTTGGCGTCTCCATATGAGTGAAAAAATTTCTAGAGGGACGTTAAACAAACGAAAAAATTTTTCCCATTAAATCTTCAAAATAAAGAAAAAAATCTTATCAATGTTTTCCACACAGTGACTTTGTCCACTGTAACTAAATAGTTTGAAAATTGATATAATATGCATTAAACATTTTACGTGTGGAGAGGAAGAGAGTACTGGTTTGCAAGGGATTGTCGTCCCTTGTAAACAAAACTATAAGCAATCAATTTCAAAATTGAGATGAGAGCAAAGATAAATACTACGAAAGGTGCATGCACAAAAAATATTGTTATTTGGTACACTGCATCAAAATTATTTGAACGGTTGGAATAATATTTTTCTTATAAAGTTAGATTCTGAGTGACCTTTTCTTGCGGTGAGATTTTCTAAAATCTATTTGGTAACCCTTTCCCTCTTTTTCTTCTCGGACATTTTTCAGTAAAGAAAAAAGTATCTTTCCATTCTTAAAATAAAATGTATTATGCTGAAAGAACATGACTATCTACATTCCTTTGCTTAATTATTTTACTTTGCCATAATTTTTTTAATTTCCCTTTTTTCTTTTGAAAAAAAATCATGTATTTTTAAGCTTTTAAAATGTTACAATTACAGATGCAACAACAGATTTTATTTACATTCAATCAATGTTGTTTTCGAAAACAAAGTTCTAACAAAAGTCCTTTTTTGCCTTTTTCAATTTATTTGTCAGAAATATGTAACAAAAACAATATTCTTATTAAGAACCAAAAAATGGTAGCAACAACTAGACAAATCAGCACCTGAAAGCGACAAATTTAGTGGAATATGATTTATATTTCTTATATCCTTTTTTTACACATAAGAAGTCACCGTATTATTGTTTGTCCAAGGATTGGCATCGCAATGTGTAGATCGATCAAAGGCACGAATCGGCGAGGACCTCCCATTGTCAGGTGGCATGACACCCACGAAATTCTTCTTCCCAAAAGACGGAGCAATGGTAATGGCGTATGTGTTACTTCTGTAGCACCGCGATCCCGAGAAGCATAGCACTTCCCGGCATCCTCGTCTAAAGTTGGCATTATGAACAAAATAGAGCAATGGTTTGATTATTCCAGTAAGGAAAACTAACCAAGTGCAGATGCGGAAAACAAAACTGTCCTGGCGTGGAACTTTCAAAAAGCAAAATATTGTGTTTGTTATGTACATTGGAGAAAAGAAGACGAACGTGATCACTGTGATTAACATGAGTAGCTTTACCATATTTACTTTTGTCCGAGACACAATATTACTTGTCCTTTGCAAAGTGCAACAACCATTCGTTTTCCATATGTGATAGAAAACTTTCGAATAAAGGACACCAATGATAATCATGGGAAATATATACTGAAGAAGAATTATTGAAATAATGTATAAAACAAATAATAGATTTACGTTCGTGATATTAACGTAGAACCTACAAACTATTTCTTGGCCATATAGTTGTTCCTGGAAAACATATAAACAAATAATACAATGAATCGATACCGCAATCCAGCTTGCGAGAATCATCCGCTTAGCGGTGCCTCTTCTGATTTTGAAGCTTAGCGGATAAATAATGGTGTAAAACCTATCTAAGCAGATAGAAAGCAGAAGATAAATGATAAGTCCTGGAACTGTGAATTGAACAAAGCGAATAATCCGACATATGGTGTTGGAAAAAACCCAGCTTCCTGCTAGGGCTCGACCGATAACGAAAGGCATTACAAGAACTGTAAATAAAATGTCTGAAATTGAAAGAGCGGCAACAAAATAGTTTGTTGTTGACTGGACTCGGCGACTTCGTCGTATCACAACGCAAACTAAAATATTGCAAATAATATTTAGGATTGCCAAGACAATGAATCCGAAGATTTCGACCTTGACGTTTACGGAACCCATTTTGTTGTCCAACCTCAGGTCCGACGTGATATTCATTATACGACTTCATATAATCAGAAATTCTTCTTTACCTACAAAAATAAATAAAATCGAATGAAAATTATTAACGGTTCAGATTTTTGCACCAATGGGCAGTTTTCTTAGTATTTTATATAGGTTTCATCTCACCAGCAGCCAAAGATTTTATACCTGTTTTAAATGATCATACAACATGTTTGTACAATGTATGATTTTCAAACTGTTCTTTTTCTTTTTTTCGTCTTTTTTTTTCTTTATTTTTTACGTCTTTAAATGGGATCACGTGACACTGTCTGACAGTTTACTGCAAGTCGAGGGCTAAAAATGGAAATCGTCTTTAGTATAACTTATGACTGAACATACGCTATGTGAAAGATAACACGATTTTCCTAATTCAAGTGATATAAAGTTCAAGGTGCATTTTTGAGTTGCCCGCATTGCGCATTAGTCAGTTTGTTTGCTGTAGATTCGCGGAGAAAGGGTTTTAATTTGCGAATTCGAATCCTAGTGCGGGATGTGAAAACCAGTCCTTAGTATGAATCCCTATATCGAGATCTCGTTGCGCAGGACTAAAACGATCCCTCTTTGCTCAAAGGCCCTGAGTGCCAAGTGCAAGTCTGTTTGCAGCCATTCACCGCGCGCGGCAGGTTGTGGCGTTTCCATGTGAATAAATTCGCAAGAAGGGTTTCAAATATAAAAATATAAAGAAATTGAACATTTTAATCGCCTCAGAATTAAGGATCAACTCCTTTGTTACTAACATTAGAACAAACCCACAGTGACTACTAACAGCAGCTTCACGCGGGCGACTTGTATGTATGGCAGTTGCCTTACATTTGTCTTTTTACTTCGTGTTGTTGTAATTAATTAAATCAATAAATTAATATTACACCTTACATGTTTTCAACTAATTAGTATGAGTCGCTGGAAATACTAGATGACAATTTTAACGCCTTGGTCAAGCACACACCCAGAAAACCATTTGTTACATGTATGTTAATAATTATTTGTGCATTAGATTTCTGAAAAGTAAATTGAATTGCAGCTTATAAGTTAATCATCTCTTTTCTTGAGGTTTAGAAATGGTACGTCTTTGAAAACTCGATGAGTGTGTTCTAAAAACAAATGGCAAAATATACAGGATGTATGATACTTGTATTCAGTATCAATTACAAAAATTTACAAAAACTTGCAACAAGTCATGATTGTTTACTTAATATGCATAGATAAAGCAATACTTAACTTAAAGCACTTCTTTTGAATTAAAATCCTTCTATTGTGTTATATTGTTTTTGAAGTATGAATTTTTTTTAAATCATAGTCCAATTTTAATATAATTAGCAACTTCACTGAAGACATTTAAATTTAATGTCAAGGACTTAAAAATTTTTAGCACTATTTTAAATAAGGATAGATGGTACAAACAATTTTTTTCTTTGGAGGAGACTTAAAATCATGTCTTAAGTTTAGAAAAGTGGATAATTCTTAGAAAAACTGGAAAATACTTAACTGAGTGTGATTTGTCTATATTTGTTTTTTATTGAAATATTACTAATATTTTCCAAGTCTATTTCATTTTCCAGTTCTTACGAGAAAAATTCTAAGAACTATCCACTTTTCTAAACGTTTTATTAAGTCTCATCCAAAGAAAATAGTTGTTTTTATCTTCTGACCTTAAATAAGTAACAAAGAAAGGTACTTAGCAATTAATGATGCTGAAATTTTCAACTCGTAGTTTTAAACGTATGAAGAGACTAGTATTTTAATGTTTTTTACACCTTCGTTTAAACTGCGTTAAAATATAACAAATTGCTAGAACGAGTATTCTTTGCCTTTCAGTTCCAAAGGAGGTACATAATTTATTTGCTGTTTTACGTCATGTTTTAGATTTTGTCACTTACATGTATGGAGACCTTTATTATGCACGCAGGTCGATTGAGGACACCAATACGAGAGATACCCATCGTGATATCGTTTGTCGCGACACAGGCCTTGATGGTTTTTATCCGAAAAAAAAAAACCGCAGCGTTAACTTCAAAGTGTTGACTGCTTGTTGCTAAACGCTTATGATAATGGTGTTTTAATATTTTTTAAAAAAAAATTTATTCAAAGTTTGATTTGAATAATGTGAATCCTTCTGATAACTGATTGAAATATAACAAACTGCAAATTGTCCGATCTCAGTATCGACAGTTTTTTTTTAAATGTCATGCATAGGAGCGAACCTGTGCTGAATAGAACAATATTAATCTGTTTTATATGTGGGCAAGGAAATAAAGCGTGGTTTATCCTTTTATAAAAATGTTCGTAGTGAATATTTAAAAGTTCATATAGTTCAAATACCGCCATTATTAAACCATTAGGAAAAAAATTAAAAACGTTCTGTATTTAACAGATTTGGATATTCCACCGTATGTATTAAATACATGTATTAGAGAGGTTCTGCAAGCCAAAGTACAAATTGTACGTGCAACGGGGAAATCTGTGCATTGCGATATCATTTTTGATATAATGAAATTCTACAGGTATCCACGTTTATTAGAGATTGTAGAGATCGATCCGTAGAAACAAATTTGTTGCTTATATTTTCTAAATTGCTGTTTCTGTCAATAATAAAAAAAGTGCAAGTACGGACATAAGGAAATTATCTTATCATGGTAAATGATTATTTTACTAAGAGATAAATACAGTAAATATGACTTAACGAATCAAAGTTATTAAAGTTAATTATTAGTTTAATTTCATGGATACTTGCATATATTCAATTAAAATAGTTAATATGTACTTTAAAAATTGCACTGGATAGATCTATGCCAAAAAATGAAATTATCCGAAGATAAAAATTCTTGCATTTAAAGCATTTACAAGTTATAAATTCTAAAAGTGATGTAAACACGTGCGTGGTATTCTAATTTGCACTTGCAGACGTTGGTCTGTGAAACCTCTATGTAAGGCCCAGACACAACGTGTTAATGTTTACAATAACCTTTTACCCCTAAGAAAAACCTAAGGGGTAATATCTGCTCTGAAAATAAAATAAAGTTGAATGTAAAACAACAGAAAAATTTGTAAAATTATTTTGTTTGCTTTATGACGGTCATTCACCCTCAAATGAACCTACAAAGATTTTTTTTTCTGTATTAATCCTACTTTTCGTGCTTGCGTAGGATATCATCTTGGCGAGAAAAGGGTGAGCACATCACTCTAAAAAAAGTTTTACTTGTTGTTGTTAAAATAAGATATTAGATTAAGAAAAACTAGTAATTATTAGTAATCCATTTAGTCAGAATAGCAAGTAAATGACTATCATGGTTAGTAATTGTAAACATAATTAGTAATAAGGATGAATTCATTTACTTATAAAATGATTTACTAAGTATCAATACGTAATAGGAATTATATTACTTAGTAAATGAACTACTCATTTTTAGTAAATTATTATTACTTAATTTAGAGATAATATGCTTTCTATTTACTAGATTTTATGAATTATTACTAAGTAAATGTAATTCTGAAATCAATTAAAATCTAGAATATTATTACTTAAGAGAATACTAAGTAAATGAAATACTTATCATATTTACTAAAATCGGCATTATTTACTAGAAAAACTGCAAGGTATCAACCCTCTGATGAAGGAGATACATGTAACTATGAAAGTATAAAATGTAAGACTAATCACAGTTTCCTAGTTGAGCTTTCTGAGTAATCAATTAGATGAGATCTACATGGAACGGTAACAATACTTTCTATTTGTTTTGCCAATTTCTTTGTAATTGTTTTATTATATTTAACAATAAAACATTTAATCCCAGTATTAAAAGCCTTATAAATTGAATAAGTTGTATATTTTTAAGGACCATTTTAGAAATGGTTCAAAGTTTCAAATACTTAATACAACATTTTAATTAGTATGACTTTTTTTTCATATGAAGGAATATTTAGAAGAAAGATAACTCCTTCTCACAGACAAATAAGATGGAAGCCAAAACTATATATTACATTTCAAGAATTCAATCCTGATAGTGATTAGACTACCATTTTTAAGTAATTATTTGTATTACAACTGCTTTGAATTCTCCTTGATTCAGTAAATAAATTATTGTTTTAAGTAAATCAATTAAATACAATTTAAACAAGATGTGTTTGTGAAACACTGACCCCCCCCCCTTATGGCAACATAGCAAAGGTTAAACTTTTCTTATATGCAAATTCAATATATTGGTATTTCTTGATATCTCAAAGGTCAAGGTCAAATGGTCAATGTTAGTGGTATCTAATGAAAGGTCCTGCCACAAAAAAATACATATCTGAAATATGAAAGCACTAGCCCCAACCCTTCAGAAGTTATGGTCAAGGTTACCGATTTTGAAATGTAGATCAAACTCCAAGGTCAAGGACAATTCACAAAGGGTCAGATTAAGTGGTACCCAAAGAAAGGTCTTGTCACAAGAATGAAATATGTAAAGTATGAATGCACTAACCCTAACCCTTTTAAAGTTAAAGTCAAGGTTTGCTTTTTAAAAGTGGGTCAAACTCCAAGGTCGATGTCAAAGGGTCAAAGTTCTTGGTATCCAATTAATGGTCTTCTCACAGGAATTACATATTTGTAAGTGTGAAAGCCCTATCCCTTATCGTTCAAAAGTAATGGCCAAGGTTAACGTTTTTTCACATAGATTGAAATCTCCAAAGTCAATGTCAAATGGTCATGGTTGTTGGTATCCCATGAAAGGTCTTTCAACAAAGAATATATATGTGACGTATTAATGTCCTGGTATTTACTGTTAAAGATAAAGTTTGGAATTTGTAAAAGTGGGTCAAACTCCAACGTCAAGGTCAAAAAGTCAAATTGGTGATACTCAAAGAAAGGTCTTGTCAAAAGGAATAGACAAGTGAAATATGCAAGTCATAGCTCCGCTAAATCAAAAGATATGGGCAAGGTTAAAGTTTGTGCGGACAAACAGACAAACAGAAAGACAGACAGACGGACACTACAAAAACTATATACCCCCGAAACTTCGTTTACGGGAGCAAAAAAATATAAGCTATATAGTAAATAGTGGTAAAATGTAAGTAAAGACCAAGTAATGTTATTACTTATATACACAAATTTAAGTAAATATAAATTACTAAGTAAAACTTTTTAGTGTGTAAGTAAAACAATTCTTTAAAATACAAAAATCAAGTAAAACATTTGAATTTAGTAATTGACATATATTTCAGTAATTGATTTAAAATTTTAAGTAAATGCTTAGTAATTATCTATTACTTATCTTTGTTATTTCAAGTAAAAAATGACTACTAAGTAAAACTTTTTTAAGAGTGATAGTACAGGCCCTTTACATGTCTAAACCACCAGTGGTGCGACCAGGTTCTATAAATTGACGAGTAAGCGTTTCCTGTACATGTAGTACAGCCACACCCAGTGACATCCTTACTTATTAAAATCTCCGAATGAATTCGTAAAAGGACATTGATTTTCCCCTAAATAAAATACCCCTTTTTAATAAATACACACAGGACTTGAGAAAGTCAAAATGCAAGGCATTAAAGAACTTATTTGCAAATAAAATATACATGTAATGACATTCAAGTTGTTGAGAAGGTCAATAAACTTTTTTTCTGTATAGATATTCACCAAAAGAAATAACTCATGATATATATAATATATAGCACCAAACACGCATTAAATTTAATGTTGAGAAAATGTCAAGTGTGATTATTTGATTTTATTTCAATCAAGTACAAGAAATAAATTTAGTTACACAATATTTTCTTATATGGTATTTGATGTCTCGAAGAAAATGGCATCATTGATCTAAAAAATTCCTGTTGAGGACAATATTGGAGTCGGAGCAATAAATTGCAGCAATGATAAAATCGATATCTTAGCTTCATAACAATATGTCACACCTAATACAACTTATGCATTGACCAAACCTCAGCAGCATTGTAGCATCGCTTTGGAAATTGTATTGTTTTATGGATAACTTAATATCTAGTTTTTTAAAAATGTCTTTTTGACTGTAGCCAGAATATAAATATTAACAACGCATTTTGAAAATAAAAAATGAATAAAATGACTTACCTTTTGATGTGAAATTACTGCTACTTTTTCCAGTACATTTTAACCGCTCGATAACGACTAACAGGTAGTTATTGATTTCTTGTACATTATAATGAAAAGCGTTTGTCACGTGATGATGAGAATCCTTTCGCAGTGACGTCAATTATTAAGTTGACAAATCAACATCTGGTATGGGGGTATAAATCAAAAAGTTATCATTACTGTTAATTATTTTCAATAAACATGTATATTACACCTTGTAAAAATGCCTGTATGACGTAACATGCGCGTATTGTTTCGATCTTTTCTTATTATAAAACGATTATGTATTAAATTGTTATTCAAAATAAGGCTTAAAAAGTTGAATTTGAACTCATTCATACACTACGTATAGTTCTATCTAAACTTAATAGCAATTAAGGCCGGTGAATTGGTTTTTTTTCTTTATTTTGTTATTGCACATGAGTCTTTTTGCACGTTTTCTTTTATGATCTGTATTTTGTTTAAGCAAAATATTAGTTTCAAGGCTTTAGCGAGAAAAAAGTTTTTGATAAAAATATATGGACGCAAAGCCTAACACTTTGTGACCTTTCCACAGAACAATGCGTTTACCTTTAACGAGGGCACCTCATTTTTTTTTTTTTTCATTTTTCCATAAATTGTCATGCGTTTTTGACAACATGCGGTGTTAAAGCAAACGGCCAAAAAAGAGTTGCAAACTTTCTCTCTGTTTATGTATTGGTTTTTTTTTTTTTTTTTTTTTTTGCAAACTATACTTCAGGGGGCCGACTATAGTTTTTTTGTGTGAAAACTACAATAGCGAAACTCTTCATTTTTATACCATATATAACTTACATTAACTTCAGTGTACATGCAAAGTTTGGGGGAAATCTACCGTCCAGGTATTTTTGAGGGACCGTCTATTTACTATAGGATTATATAGGAAAATGCCAATTTTTAGCACTTTAAAGCAAATTATACAAATACTACAATAGACATTTTGTTCAAACTGTAATATTTGATGAGTAATACTATATTATACAATATATATAAGAAACACAAAATTCTACCGTCTTGTTACCAGAGGGGGCATCTGAAAATGCAAAAAAATTGGCAAATTTTACTATTTTTATAGAGTATTACAAAATATGACGTACACAATGGATTCAAATGAAAACATAATAAAAATTAGAGATATTCTCAAATTTCTATATTTTAAATTTCAAGAGCGTATGTTTATGACTTTTTCTTTAATAATATTTCTATTACCCCTTTCTCTAAGAGCTTCAGATTATCATAACGTCAAAAACACATTGCAACGACGTCAACATACCTATCAATTGCAAAATCGGTTAAAAAATCAGTTATATCAAATTGTAATTACATTTTCATACCTATAATTTCTTAATTTTGTTTAATTTTAATAATTAAGCGAAAAAAGTTGCATTAAAACAGTAAATACGCTTCATTTTACTATGATGCGCGAAATATTGCGCAATGGAAACTATAGTCGGCCCCCTTAAAAAGTTTCATTATTTGATGCCACGTCTTGAATTTAAACTTGTACCCGAATTTTCCTTTCTGAAGATTGGATCCGAAAAATCAGATTTCAGTATTTGACTTGATTACCATTGCGTTGAGTGACGACACAGATGGATTTGACAGTTTTACAATTCATTTCGGCTGTATTCAAACTACACAATGCATCAAAGAATCTGATTGGCCCTTTTTTATGCTCCGCCCAAATCTCAAAACGTGTTTACCATAATGGCGCATACGACATGGAAACAAACTTCTGAAGATGAAAGAAAGCGTATAATCAAGTTGTATTAGCAAGGTAAAAGCTACAGAGAGATCGTAAAACAAACTGGACGATGCACGCATACATGTACATGTACAAACATTGTTAGAGACTATGAACAAAATCAGATCGTGAAAACGCAGAGAAAAATTTCTAATAGGTCCCGAAAAGTCGCAGACTGATCTTCAGATTATCGAATACCAGAAACGGAAGAAACCCTAAATATACTGAAGAGAAATCTGACAGAAGTTATTGGACGAGCAAATTTGTACCATTAACAGTTTACCGTCTGTGAAACGAATATCTCATGTTTTGAAACACAAGCTTAATTTTTCCCACAAGAAGTTGACCATGATCCCAGATGAGACTTTACGACCAGGACACGAGCAGAGGGTAAAAGCTTTTTGGCAACCTTTTAAGGCAAGGTCATACTTTTTCGTTTCCGGTTTTAAATTTTATACACCGACATCAGACTTCCGGTTATCACTTGGACTTGGCGCAAATTTTCGGTGGTTTGTTTTAACATAAAATTCATGTGATTGAAAACAAATGCAACGATGCCCCGGTCTGAAAAAGGGACATTCAGGAAAGCTTCGTTCATGCGCAGACTTGAGGGGCTAAAGAAAGCACGAGAAGCAAGAGAAGCCCATGCCTTACGAGGTAAACATGGTAAGTACTAAGTGTCTGTATTGTGCGAGCGTTCTGCTCTATTTTTGACAGTTGGAATACGTATCAAAAGATTCGATCATTAGATTCATTTATTTTGTAAATGTTAGATGCCAAAAATGATGCTCCGTGCTTGGAAAATGATTCTTCCCCTGTCCTACGAACCGGTAATGGTCAAAGTGCAGAAAGTGCAGAGAGTTCATGGCGTGTCGGTAGACGGATTGTAGAACTCGGCACTCTTGTTGATAATTTGAAAAGAGGTTGCGTTATGTGTGGGAATGCACTTCAGCTTGTCAACACTGTAGGTGAAAGGAAGTTTGGACTAGGACAGGTATTTATTTTTATTAAATATGGTCAATGACTATGTACCTAAAAAATTCGTTTTGAAAGATGCGGCATTCCCCTTCACTTTCAGTTAACTTTTGGTCAATTGCAGGTTCTGCAGATAAAGTGCACGCATTCCAGTTGTGCCCATGTTAACGACATACCCACGGGCAGCAAACATAGGATTAAAGCAGATATGAAGCAATATGCTTGGGATGTCAACACAAAGCTGGCTGCAGGTATAAATTAGAAATTTTATCTAGACTTGCAAATAAGCAGATAAAAATAATTCAATACTAATAATACAGAAGTTAAAATGTAAAAGAATTATTTTATTTTCATTTTATTTCTGGTAATAATCTCTTAGGTATGCTAAATGGTGGTTATGGAATTACTCATGTAAATGCATTACTGGCTGCATTGAATATCCCGGGGATCACTAACAAGAGTCTTAAAAGCAGAGAAAGAGAGGTGGGGAAACACTTAGAGGAAATGGCAGGGCAGAGTTGTAATGAAGTTCTTCAAGAAGAAATGAAACTGTAATTTTTTTTTATTTATTTTGTTTGTATTGATATATAAATTATGTTTTGAATTTACATGTTAATAATATTTGATAATACATGTAATTGCACATTTGTGTTATTCATTTTGTAGGAGTGATGGAGACATCACTGTGTCTTTTGATGGTGCCTGGCAGAAGAGAGGTACTGGTAGAGGATACAATAGTCTCACTGGTATGCCCTGGTGATAATGTTATTGTTGCATGTTTTGATTCTCCCTCCTCAATAAAGATTGAGATGTAGAGTTACATATTCTAATACATGTACATGTAAATGTAGTTATATGCTAGCAGTATTTATCTTGTTACAGGTCACGCATCTCTAGTAGGAGAAAAAACTAAAAAGATAGTAAGTTTCTCTTCAAAGAGTAAAAAATGCAGAATCTGCTCAGCTGCAACAGCTAAAGGAGTTCCACCCAGAAAACACAACTGCCGAAAGAATTGGCAGGGATCGGCAAAAGCAATGGAGCCGGCCATGGCCTGTGAAATGCTGAGTGCAATCAAAGATGAAGGGTGCAAGGTAGCTTTTTATTGAATGTTTAATTTTTATCAGCAGTAATGTCAAATATGGATGTACAGTTTAGTACCATAATATACATGTACATGTATATTTAAAACTTTGCTTTTTAACTGAAGTACAAATTTCCAATGTATTTCACAGATAGGAACTTTAGTCATGGACAATGACTCAACAACCATTGCTCACGTAAAAGCCACTGTGGACCCAACCATTAATAAAAGAGCTGACAAAAACCATACAAGAAAAGGTTTTACTGGAGCTTTGATTGAGCTTGCCAACACCCATAACGTTTTGAAAAATCAAAAACTTAGAAGTCACATTGAAAGGTTTGTGTTTCTGAAGTGTAATATTTCAGTACAATATCCCTTGGTCAACTGTAGTCCAAAAAAACTTGTTACATATGATTATAAATGTTATGGCTTATTATTTTAAAAAAATAAGTGTCTTTTTCCTTCTGTTTTAGATGTTTTACGTATTGTGTACAGCAAAACAGGGGCAAGGCTAAAGATCTTGAAAATGAACTTGGCAAAATTGTTCCACATTTATATGGTAAGAGTATCAACAATATAGAAGTCATTACAAAATTAGGAAAGAAGAATGAAAATATTTTAACCAGATCTTTTTTTTAAGGTGAACACGAATGCTGTGGAACTTGGTGTCGCAGTAAAAAGACTGACTATAAGCCTCGAAATTTGCCATATGGAAAGCCTCTATCCTGCACCTTACTCCGAGAAGCTGTAGAAGCTTTATTCAAGAAATACTGCTGTAAGTCAGAGGAGCTGGCCATGATGGGATCCACCCAAGTCAATGAGAACTTTAACCATATGGTATCCACTAAAGCCCCAAAAAGATTGTAAGTACTTTGGTTACTTCTTCCTGTTTAGAACAACAGTTCTGGATATGATCTTAACAATTGAGTCTGAAATGTGAGATTCAAAGTCCAAAAGGTTTTATGGAGGTTCAGAGAGTCTACATGCTAGACTCTCAGCTACTGTTTGCCAAAAGAATATGGGTTACGGTTACATATCAGAGGTAGAAAAATGTGTTGAAAGTTTCAAGTTGATCATTTTTGAAATTTGTTTTTCATTACAGTTTGTTGTTATGTGTTATGTTTTCTTTCTTTTTTATGGCAAACCATAAAATGTTATTTGCATTTGTATTTAGTGTTCTTAAAGTATATTTTTGATTTTAATAGTTTTCCACAATAAATGTTGTAAATTATAAAAACAAATAGTCTTTAGTAAGATGTTTACAATCATGTTTATCTGCATAAACATGTACATAAAGTACCTAGAGGATGGATTTCTTAAGAAATTCACATTCAAAATTTATCCCTATTCTTATTAACCAATTTACCATTTTATTTGAATATGGAACAATCACAAAATGAAAATATTTACTAAAACATAAATTATATCTTACAGCTGAACAAGAAAATGGCATTGTCACCTGGCAATTTCACAATGAAGCATACCATCAGACTTGCCAACATGCTCAAACGGAAACGTCTCATGCAGAGTTTACCGTCCACCAAGAGACGTCGATTGGAATTAAAAGCCGCCAGATTGTCTAAAGAAGCAGCGAGGAATGTTCTAGAAGGTAGAGTTTCAGTTAAAATAGAACTGAATCAGTGTAACGTTTTACTTTAATTTATTGTTTATTGTTCACACATTTAGAGAAGCCATTGCTATTGGAATTTCAGTATTATTCACTTGAATTCTCTTTGTCACAGGACAATCATACAAGTCAGATATTGGTCTTGAGGAGGATGTTGATCTTGATAACATTGATCCAGAGCCCCTTATGATTTCTCCAGAGAGCAGCTGCTTCATGTATTTTGATTTAGAAACTACCGGACTTAGTACGATTTTTTTTCCACTTTACCTTTTTAACCTTTACTAACAAATATAAATACTTCAATTTTCAGGTTTGGTATCAAATAAACATGTATAATTTTGCTTTCAAGTAGAACATCTGACATCGTACAGATTGCTGCAGTTGGTGAAGATAGGTCAATCAATGTTTATCTGAACCCCAGTGTACCAATCTGTAAGGAAGCATCGGCTGCAACAGGTCTCAGATATGACATGGGACAGCTCACTCTTCATGGAGAACCTGTGCCTTCAACGTGTCAAGTCGATGGTTTGACCCAGTTTGTAGACTTTGTTAGAGGTTGTGAATCAAAACCAGTCATTGTTGGACACAATATTCAAAACTTTGATCTTCCAATTCTCCAGTATCATTTGCAGAGACATGGTTTACTTAAACAATTTGTTGAAAATGTTTTAGGTTTTTTAGATACATATAAACTTGCAAAGAAAGTTTTCGACAAGAAAACAATGGGGGATTTTAAGCAAGAAACCTTAGTCAGATTGTGTCTTGGGAAAAGTTATGATGCACACAATGCTCTATCTGATGTTTGTAGTTTACGCGAACTGTACGAGTCAAATTTAGCATTCAAATGTGAAGGTTCAGATATATTTACCATGAATTATTACAGTGTAAAGTCCTCATTAGTTCCACTGGTACAAGGCAATATAGTATCTACACTGATCTCTAACAGGCTTACAGCTAACAATCTAAGCCTAAACAAACTTAAACTTATACATAAGCGTGACCCCCATAGTGGGATTCAGACTGTCTTTAGTGAGGTTGTATCTGGTTCAAAGACACCAAGAATAACAAAGTCGCAGAAAATCATTGGCAAAGTTGTTGAGTATTTGAACTCTTTATAGTTCGAAATAAGTACATGTATTTTTATACAACAAAATTATATGTTTATGAGCTATACTTGCTAGAATCTACATATATGTTTTGTTACACTACATCAGTTCTTTTAATATTTTTGAGATTATAAATTGTAAAAAGAATTTTGTACTTGTATGGGAAAAAATGTAAAACAGGGAAGGGTCCCCCCAAACTATATGTGTTCTAAGTGTTTAGAAGGACCAAAATTTCAGTATTTTTTAATATTCCATTTGTATTTCATTCTGAGAATGGATCTATTTGTTACATTTTAATATTTTTCAAAGTTTGTAAAATATAATGGTAAAATATGCTATTACCGAAATGGGGGTAGGGGTATTCAAGATATGATTTAATAAAATATCTCAGGTCAACCATGATAAAATATGTGTTTTTGGTAACCTTAGATATTATTCTAGATAATTTTAAAGAAAAAATGGCATGTAAACAATATAAATTTTGGAATTTTTTCAAAATAACGCTATTATGTGGGTTTTTTTCTGATGGATGTGAGCAATATAAATGTTAAATGTTACATGTTTTTAATTGAATTGCTCAAACAATTCTCTTTGTAATTGATTATCTATTAGATTGGATGGATTATAGCACGAAACATTGTGCTTTGCTGCATACTTGAATAAAATATGAAATGTTTTCTTCTTGTGTTAAAAATTGGCATTTGAAGTTTGGGGTATATGTGCTCTCTAGCACGTAGTATGAAAATAATCCTGCAAAGGTACATGTTTTATGGGGTTTTTTTGTTGGTTAAAGAGTTGTTTCAGTTATTAGAGAGAAAAAATAAACTGTTTGACAGTTATTTCTAATAGTATTTACCTACCTTAAAACTATAATTATACACAGATGCATTTTTTGATGAGGCATCTATTATCACAACATCCGGAAATCGCTCGTACGGACATTCACACAAGAGTAAACGGGCCATTGAAGTGCAAAAATACGCAAGCTCTATAACATTTACTGTCAATATCTGCTGTGTTTTCTTCGGAATAAATTTTTACCATAATTAATGGGGCCTCGAATGCTTTAGAAATGATTGCATTTTTCAATGAAGCACTTGCCGAAAAAATTATATTGGGGGTCCGATGTTCAAACGAGGTGAGTGGTCATCATGGACAACTGCAGTTTCCACCATCAGAGACAAGGGAAACGAAGGAGTTACTGGATAACCATGGCATTAACTTGGTTTTCAGCTCCCATGCAGTCCAGAGTTCAATGTTGCAGAGCGTGTTTTTGGTTTCATGAGACAGCGTTTAAAAAATAATGAGAAATTTGTGTCACAATTTCCGGCATTAGCTATTGTAATTGCACTTGAATATTCAGTTTTCAAAGGCTACATGCCATCTTTTTTCCTAAGATGTGGTTATAAGTAATGTTTCTTGAACCTCTAAATTGTTTAGTGGCTGTTTACTGCATAGATGTAAAACTTTCATGAATAAAAGAACTTAATTGATTTTGATCCTGAGTATCAAAGATTTGTTTAAAAGCTGCAATCAACAAATTCATAGACTTGAGATTTTCTTTATCAAATTAGGATAATTAGGTCATGTTTAAAAAAAAAATGTTTGTTTCCCAATTCCAGTATCTCCCAATTGACTGACTAAAACCTGAGTCTGACTCAAAACTATTTATTCCCATGGAAACAAGTATATTTTTAATACATTCCAAGGCCATTTTAACATCATATTTGCAAGTGCTTTTGAGTTATTTGTTTTCCCATCCACCTTTTTTTCCTTATACGATTCAGTTGGGAGAGGGCGTGCAAGCAAACATTTTTTTAAAACATGGCCTTTGCTAGTAGGGCCATCATTAAAGATATTTTTGTTTGATGTACTCCGACCCCAATTTTCTCTTTTTGCTTTACAGTAATGGACAAAATTTTGACTGTCTTAAAAATCATGCTCAGAAATTTATTGTTTTTATGAAACACTAGATAGCTATACACATAATACTTATTGTCATAACAATTTCAATCAAAAAGCATCCTTATTCCTTGAGAAATTATACAAAGCAATTTTAAAAAAAATAAAATTCAAAGTGCCAATTTAAAAAGATGATTGGGTAGGGGCGATTTTGACGGGTCAGACGGAGTACATCGAACAAATCATTTTTTATTGTTGACCGTTACCATCAAATAAAACAAGAGGGCATAATCATCTGGAATTAACATTTTCTATAATCATTCAAGAGAATATAAAGTTATATTTGTTAACTTCACTGATTTTTTATCAACAAAGTTATTAAAAAAACCCACTAAAATAAAATTTCTACCTCTACATTAGTGGACGACCATTTGATTCTTTTGATTTTTTTGAGACGGATTATTTATTTTCATGCCTGTCAAGGACAGATTATTTATTTTCAAGACTATCGAGGACAGATTATTTATTTTCTTCTTTGTCTTACGTACCTTGATCGATTGATTCTAAAAAGACTAATCATTTATATACCATAGGCGGATTCAGGAGGGGGGGACGTGTATAACTTCGTTCAAGCAAGAGGTCTGGGGCCGCCTTAAGGCCCCCAGTGGGTCCTGGGTGAATCACTGGTGGAGGCCAAGGGAGGGAAATTCCCCAGAATCTCTTGGGTTTTCGGGTATTTTAAGAATAAAACCAGGACAATTATACATGTAGTGGTATTGGTTATTATGTACCAATAGTATTATTAATATTGGTCATGTCATACTTTGAATGAAGGGGGTCCAGGGGGTGAAGCCCCCTGAAGCTCGTGGGTTTTTGTGTATTTTAAGAGTAAAAACAGGCACAATTATGTAGAAATTGGTTAGTTATCTTCCAAAGTATGACATAATTAATACTAGTCATATCATACTTTGAATGAAGGAGGCCTAGGGAGCGAAGCCCCCTGAAGCTCTTGGGTTTTGTGTATTTTAAGAGTAAAACTAGGCACAAAAATATTGGTATTGTACTAAACTATGGCAATATTAATATTATTCATATCATACTTTGAAATTTTAGGGGAGGGATCATACACATGTACGCCTTCCTTAAATCCGCCACTGTATACTTTGTATTAATTTATTTGGAAGTATACTTCTTTGACAAGAAAATTTATCTTTTGTGGTGTCTAAGAATTGGCTTGTATTTAAAGTGATTCATCACATCTACTGAGTGCACATTGCCATGATGATCAACTGACTACAAGTATCCAGTCTGGTAATCTGTTTTTAAATACTATTTGGTTCTAAAATGGCGAGCGAAGCGAGCCAAAAAAATGCTGAATTGAAGATTCTGAGGTTAAATTGAACGTAAATAAAAAGGTATTTTCACAATATTCAAATATCATAAGTCAAGGTCAGATTATTTATTTTCTTTGCAGAGGAGGACAGATTATTTATTTTCAACATTTTCAGGGACAGATTATTTATTTCCAAAATCTGCCAGCCCCCCCCCTCCCGCCGAATCAAATGGTCGTCCCCTTATCAACTCGTTATTTTATTTACGGGTTTTGAATGAGCTTCTTATATGTGAACTGGTTTGTTAGACGTGTATAGTTTCTTCAGTTAATTGTTTAAATCTTTCAATTTGACAAAAAAGAAGAAACATTTCATATCATTATCAGTGCCCATTTCTTTCCTTCATGCTACGATCAACTAACACAAGCTATATGTAAATATTGGTTTTTGGTTACTTCTGATAAAAACCTTGCTTAAAATATTCAATGATTTGACAATCATAAAAAATATTTTTGTTTGATGTACTTCCAGCCACATTTTTCAAGGAGAGCAGGTATTTTTTTTATAACTGTCTTGGAAAAAATTACAGACTCCACAATTTATTGATGTTTTCAATACATGTTAAATAACTAGAGTAGGATACAGATTTACTGATATGAAAATTTTCAACCTAAAAGACCTTAGCTTTAAAATGAAACTAAATTCAGTGCTGAAAAAATTATTGCGTATGGGAGACTTAATGGGTCGGTCCGAGTACATCAAATAAATATTTTTTTTTTCTTGTTGCCTGCATGTGAACAGCTGATGGAAATTTGCATGCACACACCATTAGATAATCCAATCTCTGTAATAGCAATTTTTCCTATTGTTCAAAGACTTTTTGATTTATTTGCTGTAACTGAACTTAGACTACATGTATATGACCTTTATTTATTAAAAAAAAATGAATGGTGTCAAAGTTTATTACTGAATTTTTTTCATTCTATAAAAAGAAAATTGATAACAATTGAAATATTTAAAAAGTTGTTTTTTTTCACAAATGAAATGTGTATTCGTGATTTATCAGAATCAGAGTCTTCAAAAAAAAAATGTTGTTAACCCAAAATTTAATTACATGTACAATGAAGTGTACAATGAAATATGCAATAAACCGAGTGTTGTTTCTTGCCAACCTTGAAGCACCTAGTAGTTGTTAATGAAAGTGTCATATTTAAAATCACAAAACAAAACCAATCATTTTAAACAGCAAGAATGAACATGATGGTTCACGGTCTTATATTCATGTCCTTTGGCAATGGTGGGTTTTCAGGTGGTGGATCCAAAGGGTATGGTGGAATTTCAGTAGTACATTCAGGGGCTGTGGACGACGCAACAGGATTGGTTGGATACATATAGCTATTCCCATATACATTCCAGTGAAATGGATACACAACGTATTGGTAGGGAGTAGTAGGTGATGCTATGGGGTAGTATGGGCTGCAATGTCCAAGTTGAAAGTTTAACGGCTGTTGTTGGGTGAGTGAAATTGGTGGGCTTGCATAGTTGGGGGAGCTTTTATTTTCAGTGTTTTGATCAAGCATCTTTTTTGGAGTTGTGTCGAAGTCACCGTCAGTTACTGTACTAGACACCCTGGATTTTCCCTTCTTGATAAGATTTCTAATGTGTTCAAGAGACTGGACTTTGGGTACTTGTTCATTAGTTGCAATTTTCATATATCGCAAATCCCTTTGAAGGTTTTGAGAACCATCCTTTCCTTCATATGTCACAGAAAACAGAGCC